GCTCTTTCTGTGTGCCCCCCCCCCCCCACTCCCACCAGTGTTTGGATGTTGCTCCTCTCTACAACACCTCATTAATTCATACTCTCCTCCACCCTCCTTCACTGCCCTCCCTTCAGGAGCCGCACAATACATGCAGAGAAGAGGGCACAGACGGGGGGTGACTTGCAGTAAGCATGTTAAAAAAAAAAAAAAAAGGTTTTAGTTTAACACACATACCCTGGCACTGGATGCCGTCCGTGGAGGGTTCAAAACCAGCGACGCAGGTGCAGGAGCCCACGGGAACCATCCACTCGCCATCGCCGTTGCAGTACAGTTTTAAAGGAACGGACACTTCCATAGCGTTGGTCACGCAGGCCCCCGGAGCGATGACTAGGGAAGTGGCTTCGGCTCCGGTGGCAGTCTCGGGGAAGACGGCGAAGTTGGCGATGGTGGTGGAACACTTCTTGAAGAAAACCCTGACCGAGATGAGCGACATGCACGCCCCCAGGTCCTGGAACGCAAGGTAGAAGCCAGCCTTCGAGAGCGGGCCAAAGCTGCGCACCTTGGTGTTGATCCTGCCCGCCTCCAGCAGAGAGAAGCTCTCGTCCGGAGCTATAGTATCCACCTTCACGTAAGGGTTCTCCCTCCACTGAGGGCTGCTGTCCGTCGCGGTGTCGCCCTCCGACTCGTAGTAGAACAGGTTAAAGGTCTCTTTGCAGGAACCAGGTATGTTGGGGATGCTGGCACAGTCCCGTACGGAGAACTTGAGTTCCACGTAGACGCGTAGAACCCCCCTCCGGGGGATGAAGTCCGTCCTCAGCCAGTTGTTCTGGTTGGGCTGTCGGACGTTGCACACCTGGTAGGTTCTGATTGGGCTCATGTAGTCATCGTAGCCGCTGACCTCCTCCCACTGCAGACATAGGAGAGAAGAAGACACTCATATTTTTTTTTTTTTTTTGCTTTGTTTGATTTGTTTTCTTCCTTTAGCGGGCAGCGCGCTCATATTTATCGACAATTTCATGCTTCGCTCCCACGGCCGTCGTGCGGTTCTTCTTCTCACTACCAGCCGTACCACTCGCTATCTTAGGACTCATCACTATGATGAAGAATAATGTACAAAATACAGAGACGATCACGTAGATAACGCCAAAACAATACGGAAGACCTCGGCCACCTAGCGTCGGCGTCTGTTAGCGTGCTCGTATCTCAAATCTTTACTCGTATCTCGAAGCAAAACTTTGCTCTAAGGCTTGCTGGTATCTTGGAATACTCGTATATTGGGACGCTTGTACCTCAAGATATTACTGTACAGCTAAAAAATATTCCAACGAGCAGCCTAGCATGGTACAACAGAGCACATGATAACAAAGGTACCTGTGAGCTACCTCACTGTCTATGTGCACAACTGGAAGAACACCTAACTGTGCATACGCCTCTCAGATGCATGCACAATCGAGCCTCGTACCGGCAGCCATTTCTCTCTCCTACTGCTCCTCCATTTCCATGGTTACATTGAACCTACCGTCCTCAGGTCTTCCCCTGTTAGAAGAGGCGGGCAGAGCACGTAGTGGCTCATAACCATTAAGAGATAAATCAGGGACATCAGCCGTTCAACACAGTGATGTTTAAAGGCAGTGTAAAGAATCCAGCGGCACGCTCTATCCTTCAGTTTTATAAATCTATGCATGGAACTAACATTTCCTTTAGACATCAAGGAATCAAATGGTAAAATATGGCCCCTTTAAATGCAGAGCAGCCCAGCATCAGTCACCATAGGATGGAGGATGCTGGGAAGAGTGAAATGTGTCATAAACATTACTGAAACGAACGGGTGTGGTGAGCATGTGGGCTAAGAAGAACAGTTCTGTCATAAACATCCTGCATCTAAAGGTATATAATTACTGAGCAATAAATGAAAAAATAGATGAATGAAAAATAATCATTTCTGGCAACTGAAAATGTTAGAATATGACTCTTCATACTCATCTTGTTAGACCACAGGTGTCAAACTCATTTTGGACCAGTACAATCGTAATATAATTACCTATAAATAAGCTATACATTTCCCATTAGTTTCAATGCAAATAAGGCTATAAATTTCCCATTAGTTTCAATGCAAATAAGTTAAATTACATAGAAAATATTCCTATTTAATGAAATATAATTTTACAAAACATCATGTACTAAAGCATTTTTTTTTTTACTTTCAGAATTCATCCAGCAGGCCGGATTGAACCTCCTAGCGGGCCAGTTTTAGCCTTATGTTTGACACTTCTACGTTAGGCAGAAATGTTGTTAAAATGACCTTAAATACATATTGTCATTGTTCCTGAACTTCCTGGAGATAGAGCTGTTGGGCCGGAGCTCCGCAACTGCTGCAGGGAAGCGGAAACCGCCTCTGGAGGAGATTTAGTTTGTATAACATATGAATTTATTTTGTTCTGTAAGCCCCATGCATTTTTAATGGCAACATTCCTCATACATATATAATGCGGAGCCATTAGTTATTTATTCCAATGGTGATCGGAATGCGCTTCAGTCACCGTCAGCTGCACTTTGGCAGCACTTCTGTCCACTTTAACCTATGTGCAGAAGCTGAATGTGTTCTCTCATGTCGACAGATATCGCCTGAGAGCAGATATTTGCATTTATCCGAGATAGGGCGCCCTCCGGAGTCATTCCTTTTAAAGTCCATGCGACGTGCAAAAATAGCTACGTACTAAAAACTCCAACCTGACACGGACATGACATGAGCTCTTTACAGTCCCGCCAGGATTTCAACCAATCCCTATGAATCAGGGCGGTCTCGCAATTTTGCATCGCGATCGCTACGTACATTCCTCGGTATGCTTTGAAAGGCTAGGATTTAGCATGCTACATACGATGTATGCTTTGAAAGGCTAGGGTTTAGCAAGCTAAGTAAGTTCGCCAAGATTTTTTTTAATTTTTTTTTTTTTACAATGAAACAACTTCTTCTCCTGCTTTCAAACCTGTTCAAAATGTCACAACTTCCATCACAACCTCCCGCAAATGTAATCTATTTTTGGCCAATCAATTATTAATTTTGCCGCTAAATCCTGTCAATGCTAGATTAATGTCTCGTTGCCACAGGTTTCGTATCTGGTAACAAACATTACGGGTTATAATAATCAGCTTCAATGATCGATACATTCACAGTCCATCAAGAAATAACCTTGTGATAGATCAATCTTTTCTGATGAATTTTTTTTCTTTCTCTCCTCTAGCTACCAAATGCTTCGTTTCCATAACAAATGAGCCGCCCAGAAATTGATTATATCAACGGCAGGAAAATAATGCATAAGTCATCTCGCATCTTTCCAGCTCCTGCCCAATTTATTTCCAAACGATGAGCCCAGGAGTTGGCATCGTGTGTCGTAAATCACCAGCAACACGTTGATGCACTACCTGACAAATATGATAATTGCTGGCCCCCCGAATGTATGGGCTTGTCAGGCTGGGAGCAGAGGAGAGGAGCTGCCTCGCCAGCCGTGACATATGACTTCATGGACGCTGGGACACTTGGAGTCGGCCATTCCAGGGAGAGGGGAAAAAAAAAAAAAAAAAAAGAAAAAAGAAAGAAGCTGGAAGGCGCTGTTGCTGCCCAAGATGGTTTCCATGGAAACCTACCCCTTCCATTGACTGACTTTGCGCTCACGTAGCGAAGACAAATTACACTGGCCGGGAGTGGGGAGGGGGGGGGGGGTCTGTCAGGCAGTTAGCCCTGGGGTCAAATTCATGTTGTTTTATTTTCTCAGCGTTCCTATAGGGGGGGGCATCCAGTGAATACCTTAATTTCTGCCTGTAATGTACTCCTGGGCCCATATTATAAAAGACTCAGACACATGCTTTCAATTACCCAGCTCACGCTCCGGGGGGAGGCGTGCACAGCAGAAACCTACCTGATCGTCCGGACACACTGCAGGGACTTAGCGTCGTGGATCTGTATGTTTGCTCATTTATCTTACAGTACGCGCACACATTTAACTGTACGGAATCTCCGATCGGAATAATACTCCGAATGTCGCGAAGTGTGTTTCTCGTTTCTCATTTGCTACTTTTACTTTTTTCCTCCGAATGTCGCGAAGTGTGTTTCTCATTTGCTACTTTTACTTTTTTTTTTCCCTCCACGGACCAACAACAACACATCTACACGCTGCTAAAATGAAGATATAAAACAGTTGGAGACGTGTTGTTGAAGCTCTGTTAACAACCCAGTGGGACAAATGGTTAACACACACACACACACACACACACACACAGAAACTCACCCCACTTTCTGGAAACGTGGTCCAGGCCAACTCTGTGGTTGCCCACCGACTGTCCATAAGGGTTTCTGCAAATTAGAAGAGAGACGGTGATTTTGCAAAGTTTCCACAAAAGAATAACGGGTAACAAACTTTTTTCTGCTTCCTCTTCATGACCTCCACCTACACATAACATCACGTCTGTGAAAGGACTGTGATTCTACTTCATTAAGGCTTTCTCTCTCTCTGAGTGTCTGTGTTTTTTTTTGTTTTTTTTTACAACCTTCTTTTGATATTCATTTGTGCAGGAACCTTCCAGTAAGGCAGGAAGAGGTTTTCACACAGACAACAAACATACAAACACCCATTGTAAGCACATGCTAATGAATGGGTGAGGGGGGGGTGAGAAGGGTGGAGGGGTTTGAAAACAGCGAGTGAGATTGATCAGAGTGGAGTAAACAGGTGACAGAGGCGTTCTCCGCCACCTCGCTGTGTTACAACCTGACAGGGAGGTGTGAACGGGGACGCACAATCAGAAGAGGCTCCCAGTAAACAGCGGGATCAATGAGCGCCGTTGTGTCAGGCTGTCAATCACCTGAGCTTGGTTTTCACACTTTACGATTACGAGCCTTAAGAAACCATTTCTACACCCGCTAGCTTGATTGGTCGATCCGTTCTGGCGTCACCAGATTTCTGATTGGTCGATTTCTTTGTCACAAACATATATATATATACGTGTTATTTCCGTAAGGAAGAAAGTACCAAGTACTAATGGGGGAGAGCAGCCCATTTAACAGGTAACAGGCTAGCTAGTTACCCCTGGCGATTCATCGGTTTTCAGTTGAAATTTCATGACCAATCTCTAGTTGATTGCAGCCCTACATGCTAGTTTATTTTGTCAAAAATCGAACCAACTGCCCTAACCAACTGTCACAAAGACTAACTTTGAACCTGCTGGTCAAAATTCACAAACATTTCATCACTGCATAAAGAATCTCCAGCGTTGTACGATACGGAAATGTCGTAACAGGAATTAAAACTAGCCCGAAGCGGTTTTAAATCAAGCCCTGTAAGTGAATACAGCTTCTCGCCGTATTATGTTAAGTGCAGGCGCAGCAGTCGGTCAAAGGCTACTAATGTTAACTGCTGTACAGCTGTTAACAGGCTGATCCCAGAACCCGCTGTTACGATCAGACATAATCATTGTCTCGTACAAACACATTTTTTCCCACGAATTCCATCCATCCCCGTTGGAGCGGAGCCTCTGAAATCTTCAACCCACGGTACGGAAAGACGTACTGAAAGAAAGACAGAAGTAAATGAAACAAAATCACATCCACTGTTACACTCCTACTACCGTCGCCGTTTTTTCTCTCTCTCTCTCTCTCGCTCTCTCTTACAAATCGAGTACTTGTAATGACATGACTTGCGGAGGCTGGATAAAAACACAGCACAGAGCCGAGGAGACGCCAGCACTCTGAATGCTAATAACTGTCTTTTCAGTGGGTCACGAGACGCTCGGTACACCTGCAAATGTCTGAGGCCGATAGGTTTAGGGCAACAGGGATCCAACCATTCCTAATAAGCAACCACGGCAACATTTTCGCTCCATGTTCCATATGAACTCATTCATGTTCTGCAACTGAACATCCTTCATTTTTTAACCACGTATCCTTTTAAAGACGCTGCAGCGCCGCATCAAAATACAGAAGGTCCTCAACTTACGTCGGGATTCCACTCCAAACGCCACGATGCACCTCGATTTTCATCCTGAACTCACGTACTGTACTTAAGTAGCTATGTCACTCAGCTAAGCTAACACTGTGGAAACGTCATTATGTAGGAGATAAAAACATCAGAAGAGTCTGTGTGGTAACATCATAATCCAGGACATCACAAACATCACAACAGTCTGACTTACACCTGGGAGCCATAATTCCCAAAGTAACAACATAAACAAATGAAAGTGAATGTACCACAATCCAATGTATGGCGTACAACCGGCGAATGTAAACAAAGTCATCTTCCACATATAGTACCGCGTGAAGACATATTCATCCACTCCACTCACAAACTAGTTGGCGAGATTCAACGCCATACATCGGAATGATGGAACAAGAACGTCGAGGATGTCGTAAACCGAAGACTCCCTGTCAAAAACAGCCCAACAAAAACAACACAAAGGAAGTAAGGTGAATGGAGCACAATAGACGTAGCTAAAAAGATTGTAGGTGAATGACGTCATAAACAAATTAAGGACAAATTAAATTCACCAAACGACGACTTGAAGATTTAGCTCAAATTGCCAGGTTTTTGCCAGGTAACAGCTGCTAACAAAAGCTTCTTTTACAGAAACCAAACCATCCATTAACCCATTGGGTGTTTTTACTGACGTGAATATATGACTCAGCAGAGGCTGTACCATGACATGACACTCTCTGAGTGACTGGTTGTTCCTCTTCAGTTTCCTTAATACAGCTGCGGACGTGTCTGGCTCTCATTCCTCCACTGTTGTTAGCACATAATTACTGGAACAATTACACTTCCTTCACGGAGTCTCAATGACACGACGCCCGCTGAGCACCATTTGTACGAGTCGTTAATAACAGTGTAAAAGCGGGGTGATAGAGGGCAAACAAATATGCCCCGTGAAGAGCACCAATGATTTCAGTGCCTTTGTTATTGTTCCGTTATTTTTGGGGTTTGGTTTTTTTTTTTCAGGATGAGCAAACAACAGTTTATGGAGTCGTCGGGTTTTTTTCTTTGTTGAGGGGGTAGATCACTGGTCCATCTGTGGAGGCAGAGCCGGAGTTGGGTGCACTGTTTACAATCTGGTGTGTGTTCATTAGAGAAGCCGAACATGGCTTCTTACTCTCTTTTCTGCGGGTGAAAGATAATGTGATAGCGTGAGCGCTACATTCTGGAGGATTAATTACATCTGTGGTTTTCAACTGTGTGCCACAGAGACGCGAGGGAGGCGGGGGGAGAGGGGGGGGGGGGTTTAAAACGGGGAAAAAGGCACACAATGTCACAGGAATATTTGGGATAATTTGAAGGGAATTTATAATAAATACTTTATACGTGAAGAGTACGTTTATTTATAACCTTAAATAGAAATTAGAAAATAACTATGGAGTTGTGGTTATCACTTTTTAAACTATTATTTTGGCTCGGTCTTTTAAGGAAAATTTTGGCAACTTTTCGTCAACTAATGCTGCCTTTTCCAAGTCCATTCTTCCACTTTTTTTAAAAAATATTTTGCCTTTAAAAATGAACATTACATTTCAACACACTTTATATATATATATATTTTTTTATATTTATTTTTAAGGCTGACATAGACCTCTTTTTTTTTCTTTTTGGTTAATGTTTTAGTTACATTCTAGTGATTGTTTACTTTTATTTATTTTTCCAATCATATTATTAACTTTGGAGATGGTTATATCATTTTGAGAAACATCTATAAATTTCTATCACCCTAATATAAATTTCTATCCACATATTTCTGGCTAAACATTTTTGTGACATCTGGTTAGGATGTTTAAAATGGCTGACTTTTCAAAGCCGGGGTTTTCAACCCTTAGCCTTGATTTAAATTAGCATAGATTGTAAATAATTTGGAACATTGGAGTACACACAAGTGGTGAAATCACTTGTTCAAGACTTAGTTAGAGCCTTCATTCTGGCACACTACCCTGCTGTGGTTTCGCATTTTGACGACCAGCGTGACACCCACAGCTTAATTTCTCATGTAAATTTTTGGCAAGGACTCAAATAGACATATTTCCCATCATCATGGGAGACAACAGCGGCAGCGTGATTTATGCATCTGAAAAAAAAAAATAAAGCAGACTGTATCGCAAACACCAGATTCCCACCATTAGCGAATGATTGAGTCGGGCCGTCGTGACTAGTGAGTCATTCCTCGATGTTTGTGTTTGGAAACTGGTGTCGTATACGGCTACTTTCAGACCTTCACTCAAATCCAGGAATGTTTTTGTCAGCAGGTGACGGGATATAAAATCAGTCAGGGTTTGGTTGTCTCAGGTTGGGAATTGGTGCTTGTTTAACACACCACAGTTGGCCAGGGTGGGATTTGAACCCCCAGAATTCATCAGGCAGCCCAGATTGTACCCAACCAACTGTCCATATCAGGTTGTTTTGGTGTTCTTTAAACAGATTACATTAAAAAAACTCCCACCCTGCTAAGTCTGTGGCACATTAGCTCATGTACAAAACTCAGTTAACAATGATTACGTAACGGCTAATTAAGAAATAATGAATCGTATTTGACTCAAAGTCCCTTCATATATCATCAGTTTTCAGAGTGCAGACGTAACATTACGAAGAAGATCTTTTCAAAGATGAAAAGTGGCTGGCTGCCATTTGGATGACAAACTGACATGCAGCACAGAAGAAAAATCATTTTCATAAAAAAACAAAAAAAAAAACAAAACACAACAAAAAAAAAGTCAGCCATTGCCTCTTTCATTGTTGACAAATGAAATGGCATTTAAATTTAATAAGTTCTCCAGGCAAATGTTTATTAAGTGACAGGCGTTTGAATATAGAAGAAAAGGCACGGGGGGTTGTGGTATTTAAGTGCATCAACACACAAACAACAGCTTCTAATGACTAGACGGAATGTGTGTTTAAGAACAAGGCCGTTTAATTCATGACTTAAAGCCATAGAAAAGGAACTAATCAGGAAAATAAGCGGCGGTTAGTTCAGCTCGTCTACACCGTCCCCACCAGAGACCCACAGCTGAACGAACACCCCAGGACTACATGCTGCCGGTGATCCATGTAGCCAGTCCATCCCACGGGCACCTGAACCGGTTGCTCTCCTTGTCCTATCTCTCCACCCCCTGGATCCCAGAGGCAACAGAATCACTCAGCCTCAGCCTAACCACAGGTATGAATAAGTAAGAGATTGGACCAAAATGCCCTGAAATAAAATCACAACTTCCCATTTCTAATTATAAAAAGTCAGGACATAACTACAGCCATTAGATCAGTGCTTGTTAATTTAACCCCAAATATGCACACAAACATTGTTGAATTGTATATATGCTTTTTACACAAAAAAAAGCCCTTGCACAAAAGCAAAAGCAAGTGTACATAAATTGCAAAACATAAATGAACATCTTTGTACTGATAGCAAACTGGACTGGAAATAATCACAAGAGACAATAATCGCGTAGCAGCAATACTGATCATTAGACCAATTAGCTAAATACTAGCTTAAAAGATATAAAAAGATCATTTAAAAAATAAACAGAACTTGGACAAATGATGTTTAAAAATTAGCTTAAATAATCAGAAAATGGCCAACAAGAATAGTCGGGTTAGCATCAATTAATAAAAAAAAAAAAATATATATATATATATATAGTAGGTAGTACAAGTAATGTACAAATAATTAAAAGTTGCTAATGTTAGCCCAGAAATAACTGAATATGAGCCAGTGGTTAGCTGTTGCTAAATGCTAACAGCTGCACCTGCGATCTCCATGCCTCCGTAGCAGTCATGCTCCAGCTGTAGCATAGTAAACATTTAAAATGACGTCCTGAGCTTTAACCGTCACGAAAGAATCACGACGTGTGTCCCATCACGATCGATCGGCGGAGGATGCAACGGTCCATCCTTCCGTCCACGCTCTGAGACACCAGAGCGACTGAGCGAAGGAGGGTTTTTGTTTGACACTTACGCTCACTTAAAGGCTTTATCATAAACCGACTAAAGAAACCAGAAACCAGTTCAAACTGAAATGAAACTGAAAATCCCATTTGCTCCGTGGCAGATTTACCATGCCCCTGGGATTAACGCAGCGCTATAACTCAAATTCACTAATCTCTCCTCCCCTCGTGTCATAAAACTACAGTGGAGTCATTCTGCCCTTGGGGCAAAAGAAAAACAATGCCACAGTGAGAACTTTAGAGAACCACCATCCATGGCATTTACTGCCTTTTCTCTCTCTCTCTCTCTCTCTCTCTCTCTCTTTTTGATCACCCGCTGTAACCAAAATGCCACACCACTCTCTGAATTCTCCCAGCGCTTTGGTAGCTCGCACATGCTAATGTTTTATTCACTTTGTGAGAGCGGGTGGGTGTATGATGAAAGCGAGGCCTTGCCTTCTACTACGCTGACACTCGCTGCCAACAAGCAAACACATGAAATATTCACGGCCAAACATCCTCATCAGCGATTACAGTTTGAGGGAGAATGCGTGGCTGTAAACCAACCTGGGCCGCCACTTTGAGAGCAGACTCCGAGACAAATCCAGACACACCTTGATGACAGTTCACCGAGGCGCTCCGATTGGACGCCTGATGATGCAGTTTAGGAACAAGTCATCCGTACTACTTGGTCTTTTTTAGAAGTGTAAATGTCCAGATGGTGGGTAATCTGTAGCTACTGTATTCCTGCGCAGTACACCTGGTATATGTGTTTGTTGGCATAAACACCAGCCTCACTCTCTCCACCACAGCTGTTTACCACTACAGTATCAAGTGCTAAAAACGGGTGACAACAACAGGGACCACATTTAAGAACTACACTATTGTACACACACACACACACAAAAAAAAAAAGCCAGGGGTGTTGTGAACTTCTCCGCCAACCACCAACCAGCCTAATTAATAATCTTCACAGAACATTTACCTTTGTGAAAATGCAGACAGGCATTGTGGGCGAGAACAATGGATTTTTAAAGAAAAATTAATAAATAAAAGAAACCCCCCTACAACTCGCAGTTCTCCTAGTTCTCTGTGCTACCTAGCATACCACCTGTGGCTTGCACTCCGGAAAGTTGCCTAGAGACAAACAACGATTCGTGTTCAGTGGACAACGGTTTTTGATATTTTCCGCTTACTACTTGTTTCCTTTACTGGTACTGTTTTCTTTCCGATATATTTGGTATTCAACCACCGATAGCTTCCACCGACAGTATATCCATATATCCATATATATATGGATATATGGATATACAGTATATCCATATATCCATATATATGGATATATGGATATACAGTATATCCATATATCCATATATATATGGATATATGGATATACAGTATATCCATATATCCATATATATGTATATATATATATATACATATACATATATATATATATATATATATATATGTATATGTATATATATACATATACATATATATATATATATATATATATATGTATATACATATATATACATATATATGTATATATATGTATATACACTTTCTAAGATCCAAGATGTCAGAACAGCAGACGTTCCGCCTATTAACTCCAATTAACAAAGTTGCGTTAACGACTTGTCAAACTCAGCGACATCCTTCGGAGCTGCTGTGGCGTAAACGTATCCTGTGATGACACCGCCATCCATTTGATATTCCGATACGGTACGACAATGTGAAC